ATTGATACATGACTCTGGCAAAATGGCTTGCAAACATGCAAAAATCGACTTTAAATGTAAATAATATGAATTTCTCGATTATTTCGAAAGGTTTTCAGCAAATGTTGAATTAAATAATCTAAATGCGAATATGCAGAATATCAGAAAACGAACTTATTGACCGGATTCACTGAACTGAATTCCATTTGGATGCAAGTAAAAGCCTGAGGAGCTAGCCGCAGATGCCCAAAGTACAAAACCCGTACGAGGTAACACCAAAAAAGACAGCGACGAAAGGATAAGGAACCAATGCGGCTCAGCTCCGGGAGGCCACCCTTTGTTGCTACTGCCGCTGCCGCTGATGTGTCTGTGTGAAATATTTCGGAATGACAGAGCAATAAAACTGCTACATCAAGGGGGACACACAGCAACAGCAGCAACAGCATAGACAATTGTTGGTTGTTTCCTGCTAGTTGGGAGCCTTAAACATGCTTATTTCGGCATTTCTTCCGTCTCCGTCTCTAGCTCCATCTCCAGCCACAGCTCCATCTCTCACAGAGCCCTTGGCTTGCCCCTATCCCTCTTCTCCTTGTTTTTGTGTGGAATTTTTAATAAAAACGGCTCAGACACAGCTCGGGGAAAGTCGGCTCAAAGCAACATCTCATGTAGGTTACCGGCACGCCCCGTGGCATGCAACAGCAACAACGAGAACTTGGTCCCTGACACGTGTGGAGGTGTCCCCGTGTTAATAAAACCGAATTTTACTCGGGGAATCATTGGGGCCTATCCGATTTTTAGAGCCGCGCAACTGGTTTATGTTGCTCTTGCGGATTTATCGACAGGACACCCGTACACCTCTTTCGGCTGTACTTGTACCCAAGAAACTAAGAGCGATTGTATCCATTTTACGACACTTGTCTGTCTCTATCAGTGTCTGGGTCTATCTGCGTGTCGAGTGCCTGTACGAGTGTGTCTGTTTTGTGTCTTTTTGTCTGCCAGTGTCTGTCGCTCCCTATCTCTCTGTGTGTATCTGTGTTTTGGTTCAATTTGGGTTAGCACGTTTGGCTAAAGGCTTTAAAATCGAGCTGGGAGACAGCCCAGCTGCTCGAGACTTCCCGCTGGTGGAGTGCTTTTTAATAGCCACGCCCAGGCTCAAGGCTGTTTGAAAGGTCGAAAGCCGGGAGGGGACCGGGACCCACCACATAACGGATTGGGTACAGAAGGCGGTTCCACTGAACTGCTCTACTTTCGGGCTAATTTATGACAGCATCTAATTTGGCCGACAATAAACAAAACAATTCTCGAGCCATGCTCGGACTCTGAAAATTAGTTGAAATCAAATGCATAAATTTCTGTTTTTTTGTCTCGCTGGTACGTGACCGAAATGGTTCAGTTTCTGTGTCTTTGAGAATTGTGTGCCAAGTGAGTCAAAAAATAATATCCACACACATACGCACGTGCTGCCCCCATCCCTACTCTCGCTACTCACCCACCCTCTTTCTATCATTTCTATGAAAATAGAAACAATTTTCAGTTTTCTTTTGACGAACAAAACAAAACAAAAATAAGACAGCCCACACTCAGCGGCCCAGAGGAAACGGAAGCATCCATCCATTGCATATCCCCGGCACACAAGCCGTAGCTGTCATATAAATGTCAGATCCATAAGTGTTACGAAGGCAACGGCAGTAAAGAAATGCTTGCGGCTTGACCTGTGCAGACAATAAAACTTTAACCGAAGAAAATTTCGATTTACTACAAAGAAACGAAAACCATCAAGAAAGAATTTCTCTTGTTGAAGTTCTCCTTTCTATTCACCCGAAACAACGATACCTCAGATATTTAATGGCTACAAAAGCCAAAGATTCAAATAACCCAATTTCGAACGACTTCACAAAAAAAAAAAGGCAAGCATGATTCGCACAAACCAATTTAAATAGAAAATTCTGAGCCCATTCTTTAAATCTTTGGATTGAGTTTTCAATCTAGCTTACTGCTTAGATTTGCTTCTCTGAAATGTCAAGAAAAGTAATATATTCAAATAGCAATTTAAAAAACATTTTTAAAATCAAGATGTCCTCACTCTGAGGAGATATGTACTTGACCAAATCGGGTCAACACACACAATGGTATGATGAATGGGGGGTCGTCTCTCTAAATACACACACACCAGCCACTCCATCTCTGCCCCGACGGAGCTTCTTACGAGTATTCCGCATTCATCATTCAACGCAAATTCCACCGAAACCATATGCCATTAAAATCAACAACATCACAAAGTTTGTTTCTTCAACCAGCTTGTGGGAATACAAAATTTGTGTACTCGAGTATCTGCTTGTATCTGTATGTGTAAATATGCAGAGAAGAAATCAGGTCTGCTGCCCACGCCTTATTGATAATGTGCGCTGGCCTTGAAGCCTGTGCCCGTCGGGCCCTGGGACTCGCTCGCTGCCAAGTTTGTGTGAATAACCTGGGCCCCACGGCAAATAGGTCTCTCGCTCTCCCTCTGCTCTCCTCCTCGTCCCAGTTGAGTATGTGCTTTGCATACTCTGGGGCGCCTTGAAAGAACTCATCGATTTGACTGTATTTATGGGCGAAAGAGGGAGTGGAAGTGTGTGCGTGATGCCTGGCACTTGTCTGCGCCAATGCGTGGCTTCATTCATCAGTCTGACACCGCTGAATGATGTGCCCCACTGATTGCCAAGGCCCGCTGGCGAGGCCTCAAGCAGAGCTAGCTTTATCTCTTCCTTGCTGCCGGATTCTTTCTCTCTTACTTACCATTAATTATCCCTTTACTATATGATAAATGTATTCATCATTACAGGCAAACGGGTCGATGCATGTGTTACATTTTTCAAAAACTACGTACTGCTATATGTAGTATATTGTAAGTCGGAAATGTAAGGTAAAACTAATTCCACTTGATCTGCATGAATATTAAGGGCTCTGGTTCTGGCAGTATCCTGTTGGTTGTTTTAATAATTCCATCGCATCGGTTTTGCAATTGAAAATCACGTTTCCCATTATTGCTTTTGACAATAATGATTTACCAACTCTTTTTCATGGTTTCGTGGAAAATATTTGCAGAAATATTTTACCGTGACGCAGCAAAAAAACAACTTTCTACACGGCAGTACGAACGATTAATACGTTGTAAAAAGGGAGAGTAAAACCGTTTGTTTGCCTTTCAATGGCAAACAGCTGTGCAAATAACTGCAATTTTGCATACTGCAAACCGCAAGTACGAAATTTATTTATTAATAAACCAGAAAACCAAACAACAGCAAGGGACGGCACGAGGGGACACAAGCGGTGGCTTTTATGAATTCATTACGGGAAATATGCGCATTTTTTATCAGGTTTTTACCCATCAATTAAGAGGTGAAAAAGTATCTGACAAACAGTTATCGATCAGAAAAAATCGTTTTGTACACTTCTAACGCGTGGAATGCCCCATGCCGTTCCCCTTTTAAATTTTCCATATTTGCGGAGTGCAGACCCTGAAGTAGAGCTCTTTCAGGTTCATCGCAGATGGTTTTTCCTCTGTTTATTGTTTGCCCTATATCATTGATTAATTGTCCCCCTATGATTCGATTCGGTCATGTGACAGCCATGTATCCTGAGTGTCACTCTCACCATCTTGTCCATTAAGCAAATACATTTTTAATTGCATAATCGGAGAGCAAACAACAACCTCAAGAAAAATTCGCATGGAATTTCCTTTGATAGCTTTTTGCCTTTCTGCAGGTTCTCCTGCAGACGTCCTCAATTGCCAGAATGAGGGAATTCTGTTTGTCTGCGCTTAGCCCAGCTTCAAGTAGCTTTTAGCCAAATGAAATGCCAGACGAAGAGGAGAGCAAGTCAAAGGAAAGGAAATGAAACAATTTACGCAAAAGTGAATTGCATTTTGAAAGTACGAGTATTTCATTTGAAAATTACAAAACGAAAGACAAGGCGAGACGAGACGAGACGAGACGATAGACGACGGACGAGAACAATTGCCATGGAAAATTATGGAAAATTATTTGAAAATTCATGTTGATGACTTGTTTCTTCTCTGCCTGGACAAACAAAAGCAAAGAGGGAGAGAAGGGAAAACATTCTGTTTGTAAGCTGAATATGGCAAACACTGAAACCAAAAGCCAGAGGCCAAAACCCAATGGCAACAGTTTCTTGTGTCAACTGCCACATGCAACACAGCATCAGCAGCAGCAGCAGCTGCAGCACGAGGGCAGCAGAGTAGAGGGAGCTGTAACGACCCTGACCAAGCATCAACAGCAATTTCCAAGTGTCTGCCGCTCGTTAGTTTTTGTTTTTTCCATTTCCACATTTCTATCTGGTGCTGGTGCTGGTACTGCTGCTAACGCTGGTGATGCATTGAAAGTGAGTTTTTTCTGCCCCAGTGTGGCAGAGAGTATTATATAAAAATGTGTGCCACGCATGCAGAGGCATGTAGCAGAGCAAACCCTCTCTCTCTCTATCTACCACAAGTGCTGGGCTCTGCAGGGTCTGCCATTCATTCCCAGACAGCAGCGGCAACTCTTCAAATGATTGCTGGACTAACCTTGACGGCTATAGGACACAGACCATTGCTAGGATTCGGATTCGGATAAGGACCAGGACTAGGCCATGGGCCGGGTTCGCTCCTGCACCCCTCTTCAGACGGTCACACTAAATACTTTCACCTTTTGACTTGCCACAAAAAAAGGGAAACTTTTGCTCTGTCTCCGTCTGCACAAAAGTGGAATTAAAATTCCCAGCACAAAAATTAAAGAATTTCAATTGGCAAACTCCCTCCTTTGTGCTCGGCCCGGAAATTGGAAGGGAAATCCAAGGCGACAAAGGAAAACCTTTTTCTGCGGAGGATGAGCGTTGTGCTGCTGGAGGGTTGAGGTTGAGGAGGCTGCAATTAGAGCAGCCAGCGCTTGGCGCAAACAAATTAAATTTAATTTGAAATTAAATGAAAATAAATTGGATTATTTAATTAAAAAGGCCGCGCTGAGAGGAGGGTAGGGTCTCACCTCTAAGCAGCGCCATCGACAGCAGCAGCCAACTGATGAGCCAGTTGAGTAATCCGAAATTGGCTCTGGCCGGGAGCAGGGATGATGCCGATGCCGATGCCGATGACGGGGACAACGATGTCAGGCGGGCGGACATTCTATTGCTGTTTCTGTAGTTGTTATCCGCAAGTTTATTGTTATTATCGTTGTACTCTCGGCACGCGATCCCCCAGCAAAACGTGTCGGTGCGGGGGGTGGGAGATGTCGAGGTCGGTCTGGTCAACTAACGATTCCGTCAAATTAGATCCGGGAAGCACTCTCTACTAAGCTCTGCCTGGGGAGCAATGAAAGTGTTTGTTTTTTGTTTCGGGTGTTTCCTGTTTTCCGTTTTTTGCACTGTTTCTTTTTAATCCTCTCCAGTTGAAGTTTTTTTCCACAACATTCTCGGGGCACAATGTCTGCGTTATTTCAAAGGGAACTCTATAGATGTCAGACCTCTATAGACTACACTGTTTCACTTGAAAGTAACCGAACCGCAGAGGTTCATTCGTAGGGTACCATGCAAGCGATTATTGCATTTTAATCGCCAGTCATTAATTCGCAATTAACACGCAAAGGGGGCTCATTAGGCCTAGGGAACACTTGGCACTCGGCACTCGGTACACGGCACTACTACCCTACTAAAACAGAATCGAAATCGGAATCTGAATCTGAATCTGGTCTGAACTGAACTGACCGCGCACCATAAATCAAGAGACGCGTGCTTCGCTTCCAAGTCGCAGGATGGAACTGAAAGGCGAGTGGCGGTCGTGGTCGTGTGCCCCATGCGGCAGAACGAATGCGGCATGCCTCGCGCCACTCGTCGTCGTGCCCCACTCGGCTTACCCCCAAAAGAGAGCCACGAAGAGAGCCAGCGAGCTCTTAGAACTCAGATTATTGGAGCACGAAATTGCAAGGCAACTTTGAAGTGAAGCTATTCACATTTTTTGTATTGTTTGTTGCACTGCCGCCTATGCACTCGATTGTTGTACCCAGATCTGCTGCATCTATTTTTTAATATATCTTTACATTCCGGCATATAAATGGAGTATGTACTTTCTATGGGTATTCGGTATTTGAGTTTATTCGTTGGGTAAAGTTTCGATATACGACCAGGAGATGACATTCTATTGTTGTTTCTTAATAATATTTAAATGTAGAATATTATAAAATTACTTTTATTAACAAAGCTATCGCAAGTACTTATGCGCTAATAATACGTATATATCGGGGAAGCCTTTGAATATATTTAATTTAAAAACTAAAGGAATTTATAATCTAAATCTATTCAAAACTGATTTACTTGGCTTTCCATTCTGTTTTATCCTACCAGTTCTGCATCTGTTCTGTTCAATTATTTAAAAACTATTTATTTATTTATTTGAGCAGGCATTTGGCCGCTAGCAACAAGAATGGTGGAACAATCGTCTCAGTAGGCCAGCAAGTTCTGCAGTCAATATGCAAAAACCACAACAACAAAAAACTCGAACTTATGTCCTGCCGTAGGTCAGTAAAGCAGTAAGTACTCGTACACGTACGAGTATGTACAATATAAGAGAATTTTCCCGCCTCTTATACCGCCCGATGGCTAAGAATGGCTAAGAGAGAATTTCCCCCGCAACGAGCGTTCACTCAAAACAAACTGTTGGCTTTGTTGGTCTCATCGAAGTTCCCCTCAATTCAATTGGTCAACAAAAAATGCATTTTTAATTAATGCCCGTAATTAGCCTTTTTCCTTTAGTATCCCTTACGTGGTTTTATTGTTGGGACTCAGGTCACACCACACACACAAACGCAGACAAACGGTCAGAGTCACAGTCACAGTGGGAAAAACACACTCATACAAACAAAGGAGAATTTTTCAATCAATTTGCGAAACTTTTAATTACAAGTCAATTTCATTTTGTGCAAACAAACAGATCAAATTCACTCGACGGCCCCGCAAAGGTCAAGCCGAAGCGATTAAATCAATTAAATTAATTAGAGAGAATGTGAAATGTATTTGCAGATTGGCCAAAACTTTTCCAGCTGATTATATTTAATTAATTGGCCCCCAGCTATTGGCTTTCCCGCTGTCACACTGGCGACTGACTGCCTTATGCAATCAAGTTTTCAACTTTTAAACCATCCAAGGTCGTCGTAATTAGCGTCACACACCCCCATACGATTACTTCATATTCAATATGAATACAGTGAAAGCTCATTGAGTGGCCGACTGACAGGACTTTATTGGTATTATTGTATCTTTAAGGCAGACGTACTCGCAGTCACTTTCGGATCCCACAAAATCGGCTGTCCGCTCTAGAGCCTATTCACTGTATCTGGTCAAGGAGATGGCAGATGGAGGCACGTGTCAATCGCAAGCCGATTATAGATAAATTAAAAGGCGAAAAAGCAAAATCTGTAAACTTTTTAATTGAAACAATTTGTACAATTTTTCCCAAATGTACCCCCACGAAAGCAGAAAAGAACAGACAAACTTTCAGGTTTTTGCTTTTAATCTTCGTTTTTGGGAGCCTTGAGCGATCCATTTACCTAGCAGGACCAGGACCAGGACCAGGACCGTCTCGGTCTTTGGGTGATTTCTTTATTGAATTATTCGGCTGCTTTAACATGGGGGGTGTGGTTAAAATATTATTCTGTATTGATTTTCTATATTGACAAACACGCTCGCAGTCGCTCCCCATAAATGCGGCGAATCTTGTTTGGTTTCTATCCGGATTTCCTTTGGCACATCATTATTCCAATCAGAGACGCACGCGCGACTCACAATTGGATTCGGATTCGGATATGGATCTGGGTGCTGGTGGCACCGTGCTGCTGGCTCTGCTGATGCGGCGTGCCGGTTAGGGGTGAACAAACAAATCAAAAATCTATTAAGACTCTCGGGGGACCCTGTCTGAGCCGATTTCCTTGCGGTCACGTGTCGCCACGGAGCTGCAATGATACTCGTATCTCGCGCTGCCTCTTGACATCCACCCGAAAGTGCCAAACACTTCCGGATCCCGTTCCGCGCTGCGACTGGGGGCTGAGCGCTCGGGAGAGATGGCTTCATTAGGAGTGCAGCGGGGAAAATGATGACCCTTTGGAGGGCCTGGCACGAGGGTGGAAAGTGCCATTAATTGAAATGCCAGGCAACAGCTTGTCAAGGCAACGAGCCATGGCCAAATTACAGCCGCACACACGCTCTAACGTCCTTTTCCCTTTCAACAAGTGTCGTATCCCGCCCTAACTTGTTTATACTTTTCAAGAGAAGACTTTTCAAATGATTATTCCCGTTTGTCGTAGATTTCCCAGGGTATATTGACGAGGTATTGCACAGAATATCAATCATGGCTGTGGCCCTTCACAGTCCTTTTTGTGCGTCAGTTTGAATTCCTATTGTTCTTATAGCCAAAATATTGCTCTGCTTCCGCTTCCTTTAATAAGATTTGCTTTTAAAGAGTATTCGTTATTCGGGATATCATTGCTCCTAACAGCTTGTTTTGATTTTGAGAGTGCGTGAGAGTGTGAGTGTTCCACCTTCATGCTACTCTCTCCGTCTCTATATCCCCCCGCTGTTCTCAAGAGATCTCATAAAACAAAGGGGACCAAACCCCACCAGAGCAAAAAATAGAAGGAAAAAAAAGCAAACCAAAGCAGAGCAAACAAACGCAAAAGGGAAAAGAAATGAGCGGCGCTGCAATAAAAATCAAACCCGCATAATTTAACACAAGTGCGGGCTCTCTTCACAGCTGACTCAGTGTCGCTGGAAGGGGGGCGGGACTGGAAAAGTGGAATGGGGGTCGCGTGTGCGTGTGTGACGACACTTAGGGCCAAAGGGGAGGATGGGTGCAAAACATCTCAATTATTTGTTGGCTCGGGGACCTTCAGACATACACCCATCCTCACACGCGCCGTTTTCTTCGGAAGCGCCTTATTTTATTATCAGCCCAGCGACAACAGCAACATTAACATTTAAAACAATTTTCAATGTAGTAAAAATAACTGTAAAAATGCTTGCAAAGACCAGAGAAGGGGAGAGAGAAAAAGAGAGCCAGAAGCAAGAACAAAACAGCATTTACTATGTGTATGTGTATTTGTGTTTGTGTTTCAGTTATTTCACAATTCACACGCCCGCCTGCATACTTAACTCCAACAGCAACTACAATAACAATAACAAGAAATTAAAGCATCGGAAACCGAAGCTTCGGATACCCTCGCGTGTCCATTGCCGCTTTGGAAGCTACACCGATATAGTCAACCCATCTGGCTACAATTATTCTTACTCTTGAAGAAACTGTGCGTGAAACCATTTCGCTATTGCGTGAATCTCAATCACAAGAGGCACGAGATGAACGAAATCAACAACAACAACAAGTACATCGAGCATTTACAACCGCTTCGCTTCTTCATCTCGCATTGGAGTATTCCGCTCATCCGAAAGTGATGATTGGACACAGAAAGTCTCCATTTTCAAATTCAAACATGAGTCAGTTTTTGCGTTTTGCGCATCAGGACAAATGCTACTACCTGAAATTGAGACACCACCAGTACCATTGAACGGCTTGCCCATCGGCACGGATCCAGATTCAAAAATGTTTCTGAAGTACACTCGCACATTCAATTCATATTTCCAAATGACATCGTTCCGAGCAATGCTGCGACAAATGGTTGACCGGGTCATCGAAAGTCCTTTAATCTTGGCGGTCCAAACGCCTGATATAACTCATAATACTTACTCTCCGTAAGGGTATAGCACGAACAACCGCAAGGAGAGCAAACAGCTGGAGGAGAGCACTTGCCTTCGACCCTGCACTACCCACTCCCTCCCTCGCTAGTAGCAGCATAGTTTTTGGGGAGGGTGGAGGAGAGGGCAGCAAGTAAGACAGCCCAGCCACACAACAACAGTTTTTCTTATCGCTCAAATGTCATCGACTGTCGGCAGTTTTTGGCTTTCGCTTTTGCTTTGACTTTGGCTGCCACTTCCCCATCTTCTGCCTGATGCCCCACTCTGCTTGACTCGCAAAAGGGCGTTCATTTGTGAAATTCTAGCCATGCCCAGGGGCGGCACTTGCGGCATTTAGTTAGTAATTTAGCGCATTTAGTACGCCATTTCTGCTCCTCGCCCGTTTGGAGCGGGGGACCAGGACTAGGATTAGGTCCAAGCATGGGACCGAGCAGAAACTGCTCCACTGGGGGGTCATGGTCATGGACTGGTCATTAAGCGGCCTCTGTGTTGGTGAAGTGCAAAATAATTGTAGTTTTGGTTGGTGATTTTCTCATGAATATAGGAAACATGTACATATGTTGGCATACTGAGAAAAATCAAAAATCAATCAACAGTTTTTGAGAAGAAAAGAAATCATGTGTCAAGTATAAAGAGATGATCTTCCGAAAATGGGTCAAGGGAAGGCTTTAATCTAGTATATTCTATTACATTTTTTATTCACCACTTGCTCAGATTATTCGGATTGTTTTTCGTTCAAATTTCCCTCAGTGTGTCCTACATACACACGAGTATGTGGACCATCAGATATAGTCTGAACGGCTGTTTGGGCGAATCAAAGATATGGTAATTTGAGTTTAGTCTTCTTTTCTGAGCTTCTCTTCTCCCTCTTTTAGTCCCTTCCTAATAGTCTACACACTTTAATCACATCAACCACTCTGACAGAACATTCAAGACATTACCATAAATAATAAATGATCCCTAATGCAATTCCTGTTTGGACTCACACGGAGAAAGGGCCTCAGAGTCTGCGGTTCGATTCGGCCGAAGGGCAGACAATAACATAAACATTGCATTTGGCCAACTGGAGAGCTGACGAAGAAGAAGCCTCAGATGGGACAGCGACAACGTTAATAGTTTGCTAGACAAAGACCAGGGTGGAGGTCCTTTAACCACATAAATTTCGCATCCAAATCAATAAGAGAACCCCCAGCATTGGAGGAGTGGAAGTGGAAACCAGCGGAAGCCGTTGACATTGGCTTGTGCTAAAGTTAATAAATTGTGGCCAAGGAGGATTTATGTGCCTGGGCCACTGCCCTCGACGGCAATGACATTTCAATGTTTGCATAAGGCCCAAAATCCAGCCATAGGCAAAGACAGCTGTGTAAATGGGGCAAGGGGCAAGTTGTGTTGAATGCTTCGTGCGTGGCTTTTTGTATTAATAACCATTCTGGCACTTCGATGTGCGTGACGCTGCAAATTTCAGTGTGTGGGCACATATGCATTGGAACATGAACCCAAGAACCCACACCCAGGCACATTCCTCGCACTGTAAAATAAACTCTTTAGGTTTCCAATCTTTAAAGGTATATCTGGAACCTTTGATTGCCTAAACTGCCTTTGACTAAAAAATCTCTTTACGAAAATCCTTAAGTTAAAAAAAACTGTCATCAAGAATGAGTTAACAGGAAGAACATTCAAGCATCATTACTAAATATCGATTGGGGAAAAATACATAAAAACGGTAAACTGAAACTTTTTTTTAATTTCAGATTGTATATCGAATTTATATACGGTCTGAACTCAATTGGTTGGAGAGTTTCAGAGAACACTCTTTTTCGTCGAGTGTGGAATGTCGTCAGAGTGCATGTCAGCAAATCATAAAATATGTCAATGTAGGTTTTTGCCTGTGTCATCCGACCATTTATAACAGGGCGCCCACGTGCGGAACAATTAAAATTTAATAAACTAATCGAAATCAATAAATAAGTGATAGCTTAAAGTAGGTTAGGGGTCGTCTAAGTTCAAAGACTGTGCTCAGCGAACCCTCTGGTCGACTCGCCGCTTGGACTGGCGCCGGGATCGGTTGCGGTTGCGAGTGTTTGCAGTCGTATCAGGGCGTACCACCAGCTGACGTCGCCGCCTGACTCCAGAGTTGAGCACAATGCAGGTGACGCCTCCACCGGATGACCCCGTGCCGGTGCCAGTCCCTGTGCCCAACTGTCGCTCCTCACCGGACAGCTCTGAGCTAATGGGATCGCTGTAGACTAGATCATCACTCGAATCTCTGTTATTGCTACTCCGTCCACTGATGGTCTCTCCATCGGCACTGCGGCTCTTGAAGCAGATCTCCTGAGCAGTGCCAGTGGTTCCCGTCGTTGAGGAGGAGGTGGTGTTCAGCAGATTGGTGACATACTGGATTGTGGCATTCGAGGTGATCACGTCAAAGAGTAGGGAGCCACCGACGCCCTTGGTGATGCCCAGGGCGAAGCCTGTGATGCCAGCCAAAGCAGAGGAAATCGATCTTCCAGCCTCGGAATCTTCATCCAGACCTGTCTCCCTCAGGGCAGCGCGCAGCTCCCGCACCGACAACGGACGCAGGGCCAACCGCCGAGCTACGGATCAAACGAGATCATTAATCGGACCGACTCGTCTATCTCCATCTCCATGTCTCTCACCTTCAACTCCAGCACTGAGACCCGCGACGAGGATGAGTAGGCAGAATGCCCCGAAATTCCCAAACGATTTCATTTTCTCGATGATCTTTTGCGTGATCGCGTAGAAACCCAACTGAAACAATCGGCAAGTTCTGCCCGACTTTTATGCCCAGCAGAGAGAAGACAAAGAAAGTTCAGCAAATCATTTTGCATATGCAAATTCCGAAAAAAAAAACTCTGACCTCTGACAGTGAGCAGCCCTCCAACCAGTTCGCTCAGATTACAGTCATCTGTTTTTATAGTAAACAATACAGGTAGTCATCGCATTAGAACTCTTGAAAGATAATTCCGCTTCTACATCGACATCGCTATCCACATCGTTGTAAGGTGTTAGATCGTTCCCTGATCTCTCCGTGTTGAAGCAGATCTCTCTGACTGTGGCCTCACTTGCTGAACTTTCGCTCTCTTCGATGTCGGTTACGTTGGCGATGATCACGTCGTAGATAAAAACCCCGGTCAGGGCCTTTCCCAGGCCTAGGGCAAAGCCAGTCAAGGCAGCAAACCCACTGGATACAGATCGTCCCAGGGCCGGAGAGCTGCCCAGTTCGTGGACCTCTTCGCGACGCAGGGGCCGAACTTTCAGATGTCTAGCTATCAAAAAAGAGAAAACTAATTAGTTGAAGGGCTTGGTGAACCTGAGGTGAACCATTCGTATCACAACCTGATGTGTCGCCGAACAGCAAAGGCAGCAGCGCCAGCAACAGAATCCTCATCGACATGTGGCTGCTGTTCATCTTCAGCATGAGTGACTCGGCCTGTCCTACACTCTGATTTATATGCACGAGCCCAATCTCAAGAACCCATTTGCATATCCGTTAATCACTGGCGAGGCCGGTAATCACTCATCACAGTCCATACATACATACATACTCGTATATTCCCATTATAGGTAGCAAATTTCGTATGTTTATTTTTCCTAATCAAGCACTTTCACTTTGCCAGCTATGAATATGGAAACCTGCAAATGATTAGCTTTGAAGGCGAAAGCAACGGGCTGTGGGGTCTCCTAGATTTCCATTTCTCTCACAGACTGCTGGATATAACATACAGATATTCTTGAGAACAGCTGACCTGTAAATCGAACCATGTCACAAGGTGAACCAAAACGTGTTGGTCCCCAAGCCACGAGTCTTATGTAACCCAGTCCGCGCCAGTGCCAACACATTTCTCCTCGTTAGCATTTCTGAATCTTTGTTTTGGTAATACCCTTGCGGTGATATCATATCACTGGCATATTTGTATCCGTTATTATGTCCGCCTGTCAGTTCAGTGTATGAGTCCGAGTCACTCCATCCGTCTGTCTATCATCATATCTGTTTCTTCCTCCATTTCTCTGTAAATTAGGCACACGCTTACACAGATGTCCATCCGTGGTCCATTCGTCTATCTGTGTCCGTCTTTCAAGTGTCAGCGTTCATCCATCAATTCTGTTTAGTTTCCTGTCCATCAGTTAATCAGTGCATCTGTCAGCCCTTTTGATTCAATCGCTGATCAATGCATTGAACCTGTTGGAAGTAGCGAAGCCATTAGAATGATCTAATACACATCTAAAACCTCCCAGATAGTCTTGTTCCAGTAAGGTATTGCAAGCTTCGCCTCGTCGGTTTTGACAATAAATTCCGAATCTGTGGCTGTGTTGGAAGTACGTATATTAAGCAGATTTTATGGCTTACAACTGCATAGTCAAGGGAGACTCCTTGAAAGGGGACAGCAGTAGTCCCCGGTTGCAGTTTTATTTGCCACGTACAAGTTGTGAATGGCCGGGCCAAGTGGCGCATAAAAACTTTTACTTGCAGCTTTGTCAGACATTTGCTTTTTAAAATGGCTTAAAGCTGACATCTGCCAATTGCCTGGGAAGTTTTTGGGTTCCTCGTGGGATTGGAGGCGAGCTACAAAGTCGAACTATCTTCCCTCTGCCTTCATTCGCTTTTTGTTTTTGCGGCCACTTAAGTGTCAAGCATTTGTGCAACAGCTGCCACGAGGCAACAAGTGAAATGGATGCCGAGCTGTCTGCGCACGCGAACAATGCCACATCAACATAATCATTAGCATCATTATAGAGCTCCTTGTCCCCTCTTGTGGCACGCCCGGTTGTTTGTAATTTACGCTGTGCCAGCGGCCGTTGCGCATAACATCATTTGCAGCTCGTTAATCAGTTCTGACGTTGCAGGGGACTGAAGGAGTTTCAAGAACCAGAACCGAGCGCCAAAAACTTGCCCGTCATTTGGCAGGTCTCGACTCCTGCAGCTATGGAGCCTATCTTGCCTCACAATACTCCCTCATATTATCGCTCTCATCATTAAAGTTGATTTGTAACAAGCCGTGGGGTACATTACGATTGGGATTAGGGTTTCATAGACATATCTCGTATAATAATAATGTCCCTAGCCACCGCATACTCCGTGGAATGCAGGGCATCTGTGCAGCTTTCGTTTCTTGCCTTGGTTCGCCATGCTCCTACACCTCCGACATCACAATGAGCAGGCACCATAATTTCATCGCCTTTTTTGCGGGTTTTATGTGGCATGGCTGAGTGGATTTTATGCTGTGCAACAGCAGCGGGAACAGCCAAATGAACATGCAACCTTCAGCAGCAGCAGCAGCAATAACAGCAGCAGCAGCGTGGCCGGAAAGATGTGGCGATAGCAGGGTCAGCCAGCACCGAGCACCAGAGCCCGACGAGGCAGGGCAGCAGCGGCGGAAGTGGGCATATTTCAGCAGCTGCGCGAGATAAAGCAGCCGCGATGATAAACCTCAACTGTACACTCAGGGAAACTTCCGATTACTTAGGTTACCCAGACTGCTTTACAATAAATACCATGAACATTTACTGCATTTAAGAAGCTGCACGAAGAAGGTATTCTAATCAAATCTATGAAAAAGTTTACTAAATGGTATATTGAAATAGAGGAAACTCCTTTGTGCGAGTGTTTTTCAATTTATAACTACGGGCATGTACATACACTTATCAACTTTATGGATAACACAATTTATAAAGGCCAACGGAAAGAAGTAAAGTTACTTGGGGACCATTTGCTCGTTACCATTAAACGCCTTTTGTGCATTACGAGACATTGCCACTGCCGCATCCGATGTGGCTGTCACAGATACTGAATTCCACCACTGAGCAGATACTGCTGTGATAACACTTTGCTTTGATGGGCGGACATTCGGGCAGTTGATGGTTCGGCTCTTAAGTGGGCTCGATATATCCAATCAATGCTGGCCCATTAGCGCGTTTACGGCCAGATATGGTTATAAGTTGCATCAAAAGTTGATGGCTCCATTGCAAAGGTTGCTTTTTATTTACGATGCGACTTATGTGGCCAGAAGGGGAACTGGAACTGCTACTCCCCTACTCCTCTGCAGGGGGGTCAATGTCTAATTGTGAGAACAAGAACATGCGTAGAACGAAACAAAACTGAGCGAAACTTTATTTAGCTTAGCGCCATAAATCATTCTTTATTTCGCTCACGCACACCCGCACCCGCATCCATAATGTATGGAGCTGGACTTTAGCACCTTCCTGGTGGCCAGCAAATCAAGTCTCGTGTTTGGCCGAGTGTTTCTGTGTGGACGGTAATTAATTATGGTGTTATTTAATTTAATTGTGTGAGGCATTAGGAGGCGCTCCTGCGATGCTTAAGTGTGTCTACAAATGGGTTTCTATTTCTCCCTCTGAAAACCGAATATCCGCCTGAACAAGCTCTCCGTTTTGTGATATTTTGAACCCGCAGGCGAAAAAAATATTTAGAGGAAATGCTATAAAAGCCTAGAAATATCAATCTTTTCAACAATTTCACTACCATTAGAATAAACATTTATTTTTAGTGTTTTTCCTATATACCATTTGGTGAACTTCGACCTCTGTTGTTCGAACCCTTTTCCCCTTCGATTTGATTCAGTTATTGTCCCCAATCAAAGCGTGTTTGGACGACAGGCAGAAGTTGTTGTCCTTTCAAGTGTCAGGCCTTGAACCGCTGACAACGAAATTTTGATGGGGGTCATGTGGAAAATTGGCTGGGAATTTTCCCTTTTCTGGGGTATCTGGAATTGGAAGCCTTCTACCCACTTATGTATGTTGGCATTTTAAATTAGCGTTAATTGAACCCATCTGGGCGGAGATTTGATTTCCTTTTTTATGTTTTCTGTCTTGCTGTGCTTTTGCTTTTGGACATGTCAGCAAGTCAATCAGTCGGTCCATCACTCAGTTAGCCAGCTGTCAGAGCTGTGTATGTGTTGAACAGGAGATGGAGATGGCGATAAATATGGGTGGAAAATACTCCGGCTAAGGCCCTCGAATCGAATTCGATTGGACTTGGCACGGTTCAAAATATTTTAAGCGAAAATGTTGCGCATATGTTGCCTTAAATGCAGTGATACGGAAAGCGATAAATAGTAATAAATGAAATATGCATTCAAATTAATTGTCCATAGGGCATGCCTGCGCGGAAAGTCCCTGTCCTGGATGATCGAAAACAAATGGACATAAGGGACAAGTAAGGCTTTTACCGATTGCATTATGGCAGGGTATTTCCGACAGCCAATGGTATTTGTTTGTAGAGTTTATTTATAACATTTGTTTCCCAACTAAGCTTCTAGAGGTTAATCAGCCAGAAAATCAACAGTTGCGCATAATTAATGTGTCCATTTCCATTTACAATTCCATGTGCATTGAACCACAAATGTGCAGCAAACAATTTATTAACTGGCTCTGCCGCAGTCACATATTTGATGCCCGGCCCGGCCGCCCGGCCGCCCGGCCGCCCGTCCGGACAAGGCCTAATTAATTTCACGCTTTTTCTCTCCGCGCATCCGTCTCTTGGAGACGGTTTCTTTTGGGGAATTTCATAAATATTTAATGCAAAATAATTAACAGAATCGGTGGGCAAACGGACGATAGCAATGATTGATTGCCTCCCGCCGCCATTTGGACAATCATAAAATTTCCGTTAATCAAGTTTTATTAATTAAAGCCGACAACCTCCCTCCCACACAGACAGTAAATCATTCCGATTAAACGCTTTTGAGGCCTGTCACCAGGTACTTCTGTCACCCTTGCCAAAATCCCCTGGATACATCCATTTTTTCTCTCTCTCTGGCTTTGTCCAAAATTGCAGAAATTTAATTACATTTTTTCACTTATTGGAATGTGTAGAAAGACTTAAAGTTGCAGCCACAAATCAAAGTTAAATGCAACTTCTTGTTGGATATTCGAGACATTTTCAGACAATAATTAATGTTAGACTATTTTTGTGAATTCAGTTATTATTGATATCTGATAATGCAATGTATGGCATAAATGTGTGTTATTACTATTTATTGAGAAAATTTAACAAGTAATAACCAATGAGTGATACGGTGCCATACAATGGTACATTGGTTTCAATGAAGTGCAGCTGCTGCAGATCCTTAATCTGCGTGATTGCCTTCAATGGCCTGCAAGGCTGAAAATTATCGCATAAAATATGATGTCCGTCTGTAGGTTCATATGCCAACTAGTCCCTCCTCCAGTAATTAAGCTATAAAAATCAAACTTGACCTTTCTCCCTTCGAACCCCGAGACTTTTGGTTATTTCTTGCTAAGATTGGAATTGGAACTCATGAGATATAGTAAATATGTTTCAAATAAGTTTAATCGTTGTTGTGTTGGGTGAAAATTAAACACAAATTAATGTATCAAAACAATAAATCAAAGCAATTACCTAATTGCCTTTTATGACTCCAACCAGGTGGGACAATCACTGATAGAGCCGGCAAGGACTGAACTTCAGTTTGGCTTCCTCCGCTCAACGCTATGGCGGTGCTGTACTTTTTTCGGGAACCTGAGACCCTCTACGACTGTGCCAGCTTCATCTGCGGCCTCCAGTTCGTGATGTGCTGCAACGGGTTCAGTGGACGGGGCACCGGTTTCGCGATTACCCGCTGGAAGAGGATCTATTCGCTGGGCATGGCAGGACTGGCGGTCCTGGTCCTGTTCGTCTCGCTCAGCGGTCTGTTGGGGAGCGAGGAGATCCGCAGCCGAATGGCAGCCGTCGACAAGATGGTGCTGAGCATTGCGGCTCTGGAGGTGGTCATGTCCACGCTGGTGTTTGTCGTCACGGTGGTGTCCCTGCAGGCGGCCGCCCGCCGCCACATTAGCATCTATGTGCGCCTGTCCGCTATGGATACGCTGCTGATGCGGGACTTTGGAGCCAGCCTTAATTACCGGAAGCTGCTCAGGAAGAACATTGTGGTGCTCGTGACCGTCACCGTGCTCTACCTGGGGGCCATCACAAGCGCGGTGATCCAGATGGCCAGCGGGCACCGCACCTTGTTCCTGCTGTCAGCCTACTGTTACGTCATCGTGACGGCGGGCCCTCACTTCACGGGCTACGTCCACATGAGTCTCGTCGAGCTGCTCTCTATCCGCTTCCGGCTGCTCCAGAAGATCCTCAGCCCAAAGTTTCTGGAGTGGCGGTTCCCGCAGCGGCAGCTCAGAGAGCAGCGCGTCCGACAGGCCGTGGCCATGGTCCAAGAGCTCCATCAGCTCATCGCGGAGATCAATCGGGTGTACGCGTTCAGTCTGTGGATGTCGATGGCCCACGACCTGGCCATCACCACCAGCGAGCTCTACATCATCTTCGGCATGGGTGTGGCGAGCATGGAGGAGCGCGAAGATGAGGAAATGCAGCTGAATCTGAAGCGGGAGCAGCACAAAGGCAGCCGGGTTTTGCTGGGCTACGTGGCACTCTGCATGGCCGCTCCTCTGTATAAGCTGCTCATCGGACCCTTCTACTGCGAACGCGCAGTCCTCGAGGCCCGGCGGTGCCTCCGCCTCATCGAGCAGCTGGACAACTGGTACCCCACCAGTCCCGCCACGAGGCAGCTGGTTAACTCTCTGATGTGCTGGCGCTTGCAATCCCGTCCGCAGTTCACAATCGGCTTAGACATTCTCCTCAATCGAACGGTCCTAACTCTGGTGGGTACCGCTGGGATTGTCTTCCCTGATTCACTGTCTAATTTCGTCTGCTTTCGTTCCAGTTCGTCACGATTCTGGTGAACTATCTGCTCATTCTCATCCAGTTCGCTATGACCCAGAAGATGGGCGAACATATTGAGCAGCAGAAGGTGGCCCTGCAGAACTGGATCGGTATATAATAAACACGAACGAGATAATTACATGCCATAGGGATAGGGATCCTCTCTCGAGCCCAAAAACATCCAGCACAAGAATCCTAATGTTATGAAACGCACTGTACAAAGACACTAAGTACGTTATGTATGTGTGTATATTTTTCGTTGGCTAAATTAATTTACTGCCGGTGCCTCGTTAGCATGGAAAGTCCATAAATAAGTCACCTCCTAGGAGGAAGGGAAGCGCCCTGTTGCAGGCATCTCGCGCCCACTGTCCATGCCCAGGACCAGGCCCACTGCACCCAGGAGAGCCGACATGGCCGCTGGCTAATGATTATAAGGCTTGTCGTTTTATTTTATTTGAATTTTATGCAAATTTCTTGCCGGAACGGGCAGGGTGGGACAGGCGGTCACTTTATCAATGCAGGCCATGCCCAGGTGGCAGCCCCCCAAGGGCCAGTTCTTCGCTAATTGCGGGGGGAATACAATGTCCATTGATTTTTCGAAGCTGATGTGAAGCAACATCCAAGTCAAACAGATCGATTTGGTAATTCCTGCCCAACGAAGAAGATAAAGCCAGAGGAGCACAAAGAAGGAATTCCTTTCTTGTCCACAGTTTATACATATTTCCGTTTAATACCGAAATCAATGTTGAAACGTTCACATAAAGTCAGCAACTATTATCCCGCCCACAGTGCCACATGCCACATGATTGTTATTACTTCAATTTACGGCCTGGCTGAAAGGGAGTCGTGGAATGTTTATGGGAAAGCGGCCGTTATGCCTATCGTTACCATTGTCCGGGGAGACATGACTCGTAATTGAATAATATTTTCTCGATCTCTCCATCTCTCTCCCTCTCTCTCTTTCTCTCTCTGTGTGTGTTGCTCCTGGACGTTGGTTTCCTTTGTTTCATTCAAGAATTTTCGATTGGCATTGCTGCAAGCATATCCCATATATATGAGCGCCATATAATTTGCAATAATTACCAATGACAGACCCGCTTCTTTTTGTCCCAAGATATGTGTGCACAATTACGAGTCGCATTGCATGAGACTAATTGAAAATTGATTGCGCCCACTTAGCCCAAATAATTACCGGAATAATGTTTGCCCCAATAATCTACAATATCCAAGGGCAAAAGCCATAGAAATTGTTGCATTAAATTGGGAATTCTGTTCGGCAGCAAAAGACGATTGTAATTATGGACAAAACGATTACAAATGGACAAACGATGCATACCACATAAATACATACAACAAACTGTATGATTCCAAATACCAAACCAAAACAAAAAACTGTGTTTTTTGTGGTCGAAAATTATATTTCAAATGAAATTTTGCTTTAAATAAAGACTCTATATTTAAAATCTAATTAGTACCACGTATTTACACTGGATTCAACACAGAAAATTTGTGGGGTTATCCTATCAGTTTCTCTTCAACACTTAACCGCCTTCCGACAAGACCTCTCCTTTGTGCATATTGTTAGATGCAGAAAAAACGAGGGGGAACGTTGTGAGTTGCTGCGGACACCGCAACTCTAGAGTTATACCCGATACTAAGTCAGTATGGCTCTCCTCCGGCAGACGCCGCTAATATTTAACGACACGACAAAGAGTGCGTGCGAGAGAGACAGAAAATCAGTCTGAGCGTGACGTCGGGCGCTGCGTAGCCAATGCAAATTGATTTGTTCCTTTTGGCTACAAAAATTATCTGATCTGATCCAGATTCAGCAATCTGATAGATATGGTCGTTATCTATGATTCTGCGTTTTTAGTTTTCTCAAATCTGCAATATTGTGGATGCAACAGATTTTCGTCCTTTGTGGGGGCGGATGGGGGTGGGGCGAAATTCTGAGATATACGTTTTATAGTGATATCTTAAAGGAGTGTGTGTACCAAATTTGGTTACTCTAGCCTTAATAGTCTCTGAGATTTGTGGTTGCCTCAGATTTTCGTCCTTTGCGGGGGCGGAAGGGGGTGTGGCGAAATTTGGACATGAAACGGTCAAGGTTCGATATTACAGGAGTGTGGATACCAAATTTGGTTGCTCTGGCTTTTATAGGTTCTGAGATCCTTGAACTCATATTTTGCAATTGGCAAAACCGACCATGAAACCTGTGTGTTAGAGTGAGACAGAGCGAGAAAGAGTGAAATTGTTTTCGTGATTCTGGCTATAATAATTATACGATCTGGTTCAGATTTTGCACTCTAGAAGATATAGTCATCTTCTACGATTCTGCGTTTTTAGTTTTCTCGTATCGTCGAAATTGTGGATGCCACAGATTTTCGCCCTTTGTGGGGGCGGAAGTGGGCGGGGCAAAGTTTTGAAATATTTTTGGAGCAGTGACATATCACAGAAGTCTGGATCCAAAACATCGTTGTTCTAGCTCTTATAGTCTTTGAGCATTAGGCGCTGAAGGGGACGGACAGACGGACGGACGGACAGACAGACAGGGCTCAATCGACTCGGCTATTGATGCTGATCAAGAATATACATACTTTATAGGGTCGGAAACGATTCCTTCTGGACGTTACACACATCCACTTTTACCACAAATCTAATATACCCCAATACTCATTTTGAGTATCGGGTATAAAAATACGCTGCGAGAAAAGGGTAATATTCGAGAGGCGAGGTCTTTGATACCCTAGGATATATATTTTTTCGAACCATAATTGAAAACGTTTGCTTCGATTATTCTCCAGGTTATCCATACGATATCCTGATTCAATCTACCTCTTACACCAAAAGGAATAATCTGTGTAATATGTCATTCAGAAACGTTTCAAGTGTGAGTTCCAAATTTGCAGGGTTTGTTATCACGATATTTGTTTGTTTGATGACAATGAAGGCTGCAACTTATCATTACGGGTCATGTTTTCGATATAAACTTTCGCTGTCGATATTTTCGAGTGAGCGAGCTAAAGAACAGAGCTGCATTTTAGAACGTGCACCCGTGCAAAATTAGGGGAAGGTATGGCTCTATCTTTATCAAATGATTCCGTCTCCCCGCTGCAAACATCTAATGGAAATCAGAATACTCTCTCGTTGGGTATAGCAAAGAATCCTTTTTGTACCTTGCGCAAGAAAAACTAAGGACGGAAAGCTTTTGTAATGTCCGAGCCGAAAACGCATAATAACGTAACCCGCTTTACTTAACTAACTCATTTAAAAGTTTCACTAATAGCATGTCACACATGGCCAGGACGGAGCATATGGCGTGTGCTTAGCCCAATTAAAATGTGGTCAGGGCTGAAGCCTTTACAGCGCGCGAGAGTTGCCCGCATCAGGCAGAGGCGGAGCAGGAGCTTCTGAGGATGAGGATGGGGATAGGATTCAAAAGTTGGGGCAGAGCAGCAAACTCAGTGGCTGAGGTTAAGGCAATGGCAGTGGTAGGAGGAGGAGAAGGAGAAGGAGAAGGAAGAGATTCCGAGCCGAAGCACATCTGCCTCAGTTTATGCACAAAAGTTGCAGCAACAATGCAGGAATAGTCGCGTTTTTGCTCGGCTCGCTTCCATTTTGGAGCTTAATTAGCAGGCGCAGACATTCCGACGTTTGCATTCGCACCTGCATGAGGAGCACAATGGGAGACTAGGTGTGTTTACAGCCAGAGATAATGCGAGTTGGCACAAATTAGGGTTAAGTTAGCTGTCAAGAAGGATTCATTATAATTATGCGACTCAGCGGACCGGCAGAACAGAGCAGAGCGGGAACAGAGAGAGAGTCCAAAGTGATATATGTATTTGTGTACTTGCGTACTCGTATCTCCGACTCTCGCATTTGTCAATGAGATGGGCATATTTCCATTAATTAGTTTTGTGTGTTTGCCCTCACTCTCTCTCCTCATTCTCCTTGTAGTTCACTCGTACTGCTATGTATAAATACTACATCCAGCCTGTCAAGTCAATCTACATTTATTTATTTGCATAACTTCCACTCAAAGTGTCAAAGCTAGAGTCGAGTGTGGGCCTGGCACTTGCTTCCTTGTCAGATAAGTCCTGGCCATGTTTGCTCAGCATTTGACAGTCACACAGAGAAACAGAGAGAGAGAGACACTGAGCGAAAAGCCCATTCATATGCAAATATTATAGTTCTGCACCTCTTTCGGAGATCGGAGGCAAACATTTCAGCAGATTTCTATGAAGTGAATCAAAGGCCAAGTGAAATATTGCGCATTCCATATGTATGTATGTACATATGCCTTCGCAGAAAACAGTTGCAATGCACATAATTGATGGGCAATCAATTAAAACTGACACTCTCCCTCACTCCCTTTTTCCCTAGAAAAGAAAGGAGCATTCGCTTTGCTCAAAACCTTGAGGCAATCGCCTTGGGGGGCCTTGAGTTCAGGCTTCAGGGTTCTGTTCCATTTGTTTATGTCGAATTTCGAATGCAAATCCACTCAATTAAGGCAATTTCACTGCCATTTTAACAGCTGCGGGTGGTGCGGTGTGGGATTCTGAATTAAAAATGCATTAACCGACTAATGTAGTGGCATTGTCGCCCTCCTACCCACCCCACCAGTCACCCTGGGCAATGCGCCTTCCCAACTTCAATTCCTAATGAGGCCAGACACAAACATTTGCCCACGACATAAGCATTTTATGGCTGCCGCTGGCTTCTGGCTGTTTATTTATTCAAATGCATCTAAAATAGCATGAAATGCCATAAGGAGGCGGCACTTAACGAGCCCAAGACGGGACGCAAACGTCCCAGGCTGATCCGAGAGAGCGCGCAATCAAAGACGGCGTCAACGACAGCGACAGCGAGAACCCTTCAGGTTGAAGGATTCCCCATGTCACGGGGTAAACACTAAAGCCCTCTTCTTGCACCCAGGGCAATGTCAAGAGCGGCACATATACTCATATGTATATGAGAGGAGGAGGAGGAGGAGAACGAGGTGGCATCCATTAAAACATTCACTAGTCTGCCCCGTTGCCAAGCTCCTCGCTCATTTTGTTTGCACAGTCCAAGCAAACGACTTTACAAGTGTGGCAGCTGCAAGGACATGGGACAGAG